TTCACTGCCATTCCTTCTCCTTTTCCTGAAATTAAATCACAAGGAGAAAAAAAAAAAAATTCAACAATTGACCTTCTGGACACTTCCAACTGTAAACCATGACAACATATAAATTTGCCCTCTTGCCTAAAAAAAGATAAATCATCATATGATATCCCAATAGGTAAAAAAAAGTTAGAAGTACACCGTCGCCAGGCACGAAGAACAAAAATATAAAAGAGCAGCAGTATGGTCGAGCTTAAATTAGTAAAACTCATTTCTAAAAAAAAAGCTTGACAATTTGAAATGTCTGCTGGGAACAAATAAGATCAGGAAGACATTAAGGACTAAGCTCTCAAACGCCACCTAATTAATGTGATCTTTTCCTACATCTCCTGAAGCTACGATTCCAAGTTACCTAATTTAACTCCTGTCCATACGACAACATCTAAGACAGGAGTGACTGCCTTTGCCTATTTACACTTAAAATCCTTATAAAAATGGTGCTACACAGGAAGAGCATTAGAGGTTCTGGTAGACTCTAATCTTTCATTTTCTTTCATCCCTGAGTTTTCCCCAATTATCACATTAACACAAAACCTCTCTGCCCTCTAACATATTAAATTACTTTTCTGGACAATCACTGGAAAGGCTGCTCTTGGACACATTAACTTGATTATTCCGGCTACACCACCTGGTATCGCAAGAAGTTACTTCACCAGGTTGTTACTGTGCGATTGTAGCACCAGCCACTTAAAATGTCCAGGTTTCAAGAAAAATCACACATATTTCTCAGTCAAGTGTTCTGAGATGTACAAGAAGGACAAAATTTATATGTTTTCTATGCAAGAATCAAGTACTATCAGGACTTCCAAACCCCAGTTAGAAATCAGAAATAAATTACAGGAGGTATAGTTTTAAGTCAAATTACATGGAACTGTGCTGTCCAGTACAGTAGCCACAAGATATATTTGTTAATTTAAATTAATTAAGATTAAATAAAATTTGAAACCCAGTTCCTCGATCACGCTGGCTACACTTTCAGTGCTCAGTGGCTACCCATAGCTAGTGGCGACTGTATGGGACCGCACAGATATAGGATGTTCCTACCACTGCAGAAAATTCTACTGGGCAGTGCTGGCTAGAGGCCAATTTATACAAAGCAGCACAATCTATTATAATGAAATCTCTTCAAGGTTCAAGTTTCTATAGCTAGAGGGTAAAAGAGCTTTTTGGAAAGTACTGAATTTGAACATACAGTATCTTCTATACAGTTATACTTTCTATGTGAGTAGGGTGGCTTACTGTGGTAGGCCCTTAACCTACCACAGTAAGGTTAAGGGTTAAGGTCTGAGTTAAGGTCTGGACATCGGAGAAAATTTAAGTTATCACCCCAAGCTCAATCCTCTGTACTTGTGAATACATCTAACATTATTAATGAACGAGTATGGATAGTTTAGGCTTGGAGTGATAAATAATGGGTGTGCGGTTTTGATAAAGCATTAACCAACCTGCAGAGGGCTACACCATTTACCTCATTCTAAGACTCAGTTGTTTATAAAATAAGCTCTCCTTATCTTTCTCTCAGGGGATTAGATCTTATCCTGAAGTACTGGAGGTTAAAAACTAGATAAATATCAGGTTTTAATCATCATTAAATGGATGTGCTACTTGAACCAAGAAATTGCTACGTTCGTTCTAATATGACCACTTACAAAGCACACCGTCTGATGGAAGACCAGCTGACGCGCAAAGAGAAACTCCTCAAATGACAGCGGGTTGGTCCCCAAACTCCTCCTTTATCAGTATGCCAACAGCTGATTGTGCCTGGGCTGCTGAGTCACTCTAACCAAACTCAAGAGCCTGACCAAAACTTTCCAATTTCCTCTTTTATAATGGGAGATAAGATACATCTTTCTAGCGACAAGACTATGAATGTCAAGAGGATAGGCTGGTTTTGAAGATTTCAGTTAAACTCTGGGAAAGTCTCATGAAATATCCCTGCCTCATAATCAGTTGATTTCTCCAGGTACCAGAATCATCTCTTTGGCCCCCTGGGAGTCCTCTTCTTTGCGCGGTACTAGATTAAGGAGGAGCCCTACCTCTTCTTCATTCTCCTTTTTCTAAGCTCTTTGCAGATTTCACCCTTGAAACATTTCTCTTTCAACAACATCATTAATAATTGTCAAAACTACAGCTTCATGCTTAACCCCCTCCACACAATCAGTCAGATTGTAACTTTTAACATTAATGCCATATACCAGGTTATAATTTGAGCAGCCACCCTATAACTGATTACATTCTCCCTAGCCATCTAGTTACAGATTATTGTTTAGCACCTGTTACTTCTAAGGATGGCAGAAATACATCACTTTTCCTCATTTCATTTCTCTCCAATCTTCCTGTCATCTCCTAGAGATCAAGCATAGAAGAAATCCTAGAGTACAGAGACTAGTGGTTTTCAATTTTTTTAAAAAAAAGTAACAGAACTCCTACGTCCTACCAAAAAAAAAAAATCCCTCTATTTCCATAAGAGATAAAGGATCTGTTTTAAAGTAGAAGCCTCCCTCCCACAAACCCACCCCTCTTGCAGTTTGAAAAACCACCGTCTTAGACCAACCCTTCATCTTAAAGTTGAGGAAACAGATCCAGAGACCAGAACTGACTTGGAGATGCTAAGACAGCTGGAGCTGGTCCATCATACTCCACGACACACGGGTGCAGAGAAAACCCTGCCAAATCAAATGACTTATTTTATAGTAAAGAAGTTACCATGTTGAGATTGTGTGAACTAGATAAAAAGAATCTGTTACTAGTATAAACACATTCAGATTACCCGTGTATATAGCACAAAATAAAAGAAATATTTTGCTAAGAAATATTTCGACTTTTTCAGATACGTGAGACACCCCAAGGGACTACTGGAAGTACGAACTGGGTTTGGGAAGGAAAAAAATGGCAGTTAGATCAGGCTTACTGTACCTAAGGACCCTGTGACTAATTCCAGTAGCAAGTTGGTACACCTGGCCCCTAATTTCAAATTTAGTCCACTCTTCTTTAATATACAAATAGAGGCTTTATGCCCCACTCACTGCATGACCCAAGTCAATATGCAGAAGTTTGGAGAACCCTAGATTTTCGCTATTGGCCCAAATAACTTCAGGGTGCCTACGAGAATCTCAATGCCATGAATTTACCATGCTCCAGAGTAGGGTCCTTGTGGAAAGACGGTCAATTACATTCAAAGCCAATGGAAACACAGAAAGACAAGAAAAGATCCAGCATAATCTACCAAGGCAATCCTATCTTATTCACTTAAGCCTCACTGAGATTTTACAGAATAAAGGAAAAGAACAGTGAACCTAGAAAGACCCACTGCGTTCTCTAAATCTCTTTCCTCATCACAAATATGAAAGACTGAACTTGCTGATCTACAGTTTTCAGTTCAAACTCCAGGATGAGGGATTTTTCTAATTTCGAATAAAGCCGATCCTCTTCATTCTGGGGTACAATCCCAACTTTCTCCTCCCCACCTGTTTACAGGGGGAAATAAGGGGAAAAAAAGAAAAAGAAAACTCGCAGCTTGGTCCGGACTGTCCTCCGTCCGTGTCAAGGAATCATAACACCCCCTAAATTAAGACCCGGGCCTAGGCTCGGAGAAAAAGTAGTGCATCACGATATAATCCTACCTCCCGCCTTCCGAGTCAAACGGCTCCGCACCCCAACAGTTTAGAATCCTGCCTGTTCTTAATGCTACAGCCGAGAGAGAATCCACAAGCCACTTTGGGTCCTCGGCCCTTCTGTGTTCACAACCGCCCAGGACACAAGTTCTTCGGTCTAACCTAACCCTTTCCTGCTGCAGGGTTAAGCCCAAGCCTTCTTTCTGACCTTGGGGAGACCAGCTCCCCGCCCCGTCCTCTCACAGACGCCCTAGGGGCTCCTCTCGAAGATCAGACGTTCCTCCCATCCCCCTACCCTCCTAAATTTAGGACAGGGAAGCTTTAGGGCCATCGTCTCTCTTCCGGGACCGATCAGACTTCATTCCAAATAGGGAAAGATGGGGGGAAAAGATGGGGTCGAGAGAAACCTGGGCCCTGGGGAGTCACTCCTTCAGCGCCCCCAGGGACCAGGTATCCGATCACCCGCGCATCCCGCTCCCCTCCTCCCCCGGACTGCAAAGCACCCAGATGGAGACCTGCCGGGCCCACGCTTGCTCGGACCCCGCGTCACGCGCCCCCTCGGCTCCAACCGCCAAGACACAGCAACCGGCGAGGGGCTGGAAAGGAAGAGGGTCCCCTGCGGTCTCACCTGGGGCGGAGGCGCTCGCTCATGTTAGCTGATGGAGGCGAGCGACGCGGCGCCGCTCCGCGAAGAGAGAAAACAGAGGGTGTTGTGTTCCGGCGGCCGCCACGCCCACACCCTCGGGCCTTGGCTCTCTCCGCGGCTCCGGTGGAAGCGGCCGGCGATGAGTACCCCTCTGTGGGACCCGTACCACCTCTACTTCCGGCGTCTGATCCGCGCCCCCCCATGTCGCAGCCGCCGTGGTACCGCCCACCCGCGGCTGCGCAGTGGTGCGACCCCGGCCGCGCCGACCGGTAACCCCGCCCACAGGAAAAGGCGGGCTCGGAGCAACCAGGAGCTTCTGGGAGAGAGGACCTCGTTAGAGGTCGCCCGAGCTTTCGCCTGTTCGCAGCCGAGCGGGGATACCTTAAGAGTCAAGCCAGGTTTAAATTAAATTAAACTATATCAGAATAATATGATACAAGTATTTGAGTTAAATCCCTGTGAGGTCACAATTTTTTTTAAATAGCTGAGAAGCATCAGGCAGTGGTGCGGACGGCCTGCCCCGGGTCCCAGGACTGAGAGTTGGGAAGCGGCGCGTGGGCTGCGCTGGGGGCGGGTGGGGGTGGGGGCCTGGCGCGGGGCTTCGTGGTCTTATCTGTCTTGCGAGGTGAGGTGCTGCCGTGGGGGGAGTTTCCACGGGCGGGGATGTTTCCTAGGGCCTCTGCCGTCGGTCTGGGGACGAATGTGGCGACAAGAGGAGAGTGGGGGGAGGGCTTCCTGAAGCCGAAGGTTCCGCCCCCTTAGGCACCCCAGCGGCTCCGGCGCCTGGGGCTGGGGGGCTGCGGGGCTGCGGGGCTGCGGGGCTGCGGGGAGGCCCCAACCAGGAAGCAGCAGGACTGCTTTCCTGAAAACGTTACGGGCAGGGGGGTACGCTAGATAGTACTGCTGGGGGCGGGGAAGTCCGCTGGAGAGCGCAGGAGCGGCGGGCGAAGATTATCCTAACTTTGAGGTCCGCCCTGTGCCCAGGAGGGTGGTCAAGTCTGCTTTCTGGAACACCGAGGTAGCACTGCCCTCCCTACAGGTGACTCGGTTATTTGAATTTGCCCCAGCACTTTGCCGCATTTATTCATTGTATGTGCTGTCGAGTGACTTCCCTGATTGTGTTTTTCAGAGGCCGACATTAAAATCGCAACTGGAGAACGGAGAGCGAGGCCTGCTCATCCAGGAGAAACAACCGCAAAATCAGTATCTTTCTAGAAAAGCTTTGGTAAGAAAGCATTTAATAGGGAAGAACCTTTGTATTCTCTTACAAGTTAATCACTAAAGGGATGTTGCCTGTAAGCTTAAATTACACCTAATGGCCCATCTCTGGGAACCCTGCCTCCCAGATCATGAGCATGAAGCTAAAATACCTTTGTTTAGCTCAGAGGAAACAGCCTGACCAGGCCCACCTGTGAATCACTGCAGGAAGGAAGAAATTAACACACCCCCTCCGGAGGCTGATGGGAACTCCAGGAAATGTTCGGCTTTACTCCCTTCCCTTTTAGTATAAAGGATGCCTGAATTCTAACTCAGGCAAGATGGTTCTTTGGGACGCGAGTCCCCCATCTCAGTCTGCCGCAGCTCTCCAAACAAATTCCCTAGTCCTCGCCCCAAGAACGCATCTCTCGGTTTATTGGCCTGTCCTGCGGTGAGCGGGTGAGCTTGAACTCGGTAACATTAAGGCATCCATGGTGAGACGTTACTGTTCAAGGGTGCGGGAAAGATCTCAGTAGGATTAAGCGTGAGGATGGCACGGTGTGGAAGCACATGCCTCTAACAGGTCTCTTCTAAAGTCGTTAGCCTAAGGCCCTTGGACTGGCTTCCGTTGTGTGTATTTTTGGAAATAAACAGTCCCTAACTTTTATTATATTGTCAAAGGGGTACCTCCAAAGTAAGAATAGTTGCTGGAAAGTCTATTGGCAGAAGACAGTTTTGGTTTTTGTGAGTTCTTTTGTTTGTGTGTTTTTGCGTGACTTCATGTAAGATAAGGTGGGTCGGTTGGTCTGACGGATTGGCCAGGGCCAGGCCCAGTGCTCAGTTCTGAGAATGCAGCTGTGCACAGGGTCCACCTGTTCCCTGCCCTCTGGAACTTGATAGAATAAGAAATGTAAACAGAATTAAGTCATCTGAGCTTTGGAATGAAATACTTCCTTTTCCTGACTGGAGAGAATAATAGAGGCAGCAGTGATACATGGTGTAAAGTTTTTTAAACGTTTTTATGTGGCATAAATTTCACAAAAGTGTCAAACTAGACAAATTTGTCCTTAATCCATTGTACTACATACTGCAAGTAAAAAATGGGGGACCATGTCACCTCCACTTATGTATTATTTGTGCGTTTGCTGTACTTCTGTGTATGTGTATGCATATATGCTTATTACTAATGCGTTAAATGTCAGTAGCATTTCATTTTTCATGCTTAGACAATAAAAGCTCTAATATTTTCTTCTTGCCCCAGTGGATCTTCTGTATATCACTCTGGAAATACTAGTCTAAGCCACCTTGGAATCCCAGCCTGAGTTTTTCACTCTTCACCATTCTTCCCTTGAATGATGTGTTTAAGGGTTTATAACAGTTTCTTTATATTCATGTGCTATCCAGTTGACTTGCTACAGTGTTAAATAGCAAACATTTTATTGGCATTTTATCTGATTGGCATTCTGGACATCTTTTCCTTCCACTAAGCATTAATTCACTAGACTTAAGTTTTTTGGTCCGGCTCACCTCCTAGTTAGGGATGTTGAAAAACCTCTTTGGTTGTCTTTTGTAATGACTGATTCCTAAGAGACTTTAAGAGTGTGAAATACCAAGCAGAAATGGAGCCAGGAATATTGATCTTAAAATCCAACTATGTCTGTTTTCTACCTGTGGAAGAAAAAGAATGGGTCAAAAGAAATTTTTTAAAACGTCCTTCAACCTAACTTCTTTCAAATGAATTTAAAAGCTACAACACCTAAATAAAGTATTAGTATTTACTCTATGGATTGTGTGCTCCCCGTAACCTCACATTTCTCTTTTTCAGGAATAGGAGAGCTATTCCACCCAGAATGGAAGTGTGTCCTTACTGTAAGAAGCCATTTAAACGATTAAAATCCCATCTTCCGTACTGTAAGATGATAGGACCAGCTGTGCCTGCTGTTTGTCAGTCCAAGCCGGCTACCCTCGCACGTGCTAAAAAAATCAAAGGGCCAATCAGAGACTCAGTTAAAGCAAAAGAGAAAGGGTTAGGGACAGATAGTAAGAAAAGAAATCCTGAACTGAAAGGGGACAGATCAGAACAACAGACAGTTAAGTCCTCTCCACGACTATCTGTTGGTTTGGAAAAAACAAGTAATACAAAGGCTGATAAAGACTTCAAGAATCAAATTCAACCCTCCCTCAAAATGCTAAAAAATACTGAACAGAAGATTACTTCCCAGGGAGAAACTACAGCTCAGTTTTCTGCATCAGAAAACACCACTCCTAAAAAAGAGCTTGCCGAAGACTTGTCTAAATCAGGGGAAAGCAGAAATAACCCTTCAGAGACTGAAGCTTCTTTAGCTCTTGGCCCAATGGAACCTTCTCTGTCAAATCAAGATAGGAAATATTCTTCAGCCTTTCCTAATGATGTACAAGCCACTTCTGCTGATTTAAGATTGGACAGAGTGGATGCCCCAAGACAGAACCTTCTCATAAAATTACTAGATATGCCTCTGGGCGATTATCACAGTTCTCCCACGAATCTCAATTACGGGGTTGAAAGGGTAAGCACATCATCAAGCAGTGAGAGAGATTCCAAGGCCGGGGATCACCTCTTGGGAGTCTCTACTAGAGACTCCGGGACTTGGGAAAAGAACACAGAATCACAAATTGCAGCTTTTAAAGTTAGCCCGTTAGGTAAAGTCCAGGTCAAGGAGAACCAGGGAAAAGGACTTGACCTTGGAGCAGAGGCATGTGGGAGCCAAGGAAATGCAGAGAAAAGTGCATTTGCAACAAAAATGCAGGAGTGGGCTGCCGTGAGCGATGATTCAGTCATGGAGAGGAAACCTCGAGGTGAAGGCCCCAATTTAGAGTTGCTCACGCCAACGGGGACAAATTGCAGTGAGCTTCTCTCTGTATCACAGTCACGTAATCAAAGTCTTGCCTCTCTGGCTATGAAATTTCTCCAAGAAGAGAAGGCAGAAGCCTGCAGCCGTAATCAAGTCCCTGCTATGAAGGCATTGACAAAGAGTGAGGAACAAGCTTCTCTGACACCCAAGTCGGGCCGTCGGCCACCAGCATCGCACCCCAGGGGCCAGCATTCTGCACATTCAACCCATCATCACGCTTCTAAAGGCCCCTTCACAGGTCAGATCGGTGCCACCGACAGAAAGACCCTATCCAGCTCCCTGGGGCTGGAGTGGTTTCCAGAGCTCTATCCGGGTTATCTTGGACTCGGGGTGTTGCCGGGGAAGCCTCCGCATTGGGGCGCATTGGCCCAGAAGCCTGCGCTCATCAGTACCCAGGGGGGAAGCTGCTCCCAAGGTAAGCACGCTCCCGTCCAAGCTCATCCAGACAGCTCTGTGCCTTCTGAATCCGTGAGGTTCGGAACGCCCACATTCTCACTTGACCTTCCTCGTACCTGGGCACTCCAGTGCGCTGCACTTGTGAGTGTCCTCAGAACGTGGCTTCTTGCTCCCAGGGGTCAGTAATAACGGGTTTATCACTCTCCCTTCCACTCCACCGAGAGGTGAGGGCTGGACTACGACAGGCTGGCCGGTGATGCTGATAGCAGTTGACCGCCTACATTTGGAAGAGGCATGGCCTCTTCTAGAAATTGGGTGGGTATTCAAGCTGAAGAGACTCGGGAAAAACAGGAAGACTTGAGGGTCTGCCTAAACAGAACAAGCGCCGTGCTCAGATTTCAGTCAGGACCAGCTTGGGCAGAAAATAGGTCCCAGACGTGTGGTCAGATGCAGCATCTAGCAGTTTAGAGTAGCACAGAAGGGGGCTTCCCTGGTGGCGCAGTGGTTGAGAGTCTGCCTGCCGATGCAGGGGACACGGGTTCGTGCCCCGGTGCGGGAAGATCCCACATGCTGCGGAGCGGCTGGGCCCGTGAGCCATGGCCACTGAGCCTGTGTGTCCAGAGCCTGTGCTCCGCAACAGGAGAGGCCACAACAGTGAGAGGCCCGCGTACTGCAAAAAAATAATAATAAATAGAGTAGCACAGAAGGGAAGAGTAGATGGGGTTCTTGTCTTTGGGGGCAGGCTGGGGTGGCAGTCAAGGCAGGTGGAAGTGGGGCCTCAGGGATGAGCTGGTGAAGATCAGGAGCAGAGGGTGTAGCCAAGAGGGAGCAGAAATCCATGCCCTGGAGAAGTTAGGCCGCAGAGAATAGGACCAAAGATGGAGCCTCAAGACACGAGAGATTAGGTAAGAAGGATTGGGGGAGAGAGGCTGGGCATCAAGACTGATTGGATTGTGAGTCTGTCTCTTCGAAGCTCCCTGGATGCTCCTTGCTGGTGCCTGGAATGGGTTCAGCAGTGGGCAGGACGGGGGCCCGGGTAGGAACCAAGAGCTTCCCTCCGGCCCCCTCAGTGCCCTTGCTTTTTTCTGCTCTCACCTTTAGTTACTGAACTGCTTCTCTAGTTACGGAACATAGAGTGTCTCCATTTTCCTCCCCAGAAGCTTTGGATTACTTCTTTTTGTTTGGGTTCTCTAGGGGCGTGGTTAGGCGTGGTCACAGTAGCATCCATCTCTTTCTTTTTTTTTTTTTCTTTTTTTTTTTTTTTTCATCTCTTTCTTGCCTAGTGTTCTTTGGTGCTTTCCGGTTATTTTGACAGGAGACACAAAGCCACTCAGAATAGGCTTGCAGCAGAAAAGCTTGTATTATCCCTTCCTAAAGGATACATTTTTCCCCTCTACTATGTTTTTTTTTTTTGTGAATGATCACATATTCACTAAGCCCCAGTTTGGCTGTTGTGGAAAGCTTTTTTTTTTTTTTTTTTTTTTTGGTGTGCGGGCCTCTCACTGTTG